CCCCCCCTCCTTTCTTCCTCCCGCTCCCCCTCCTTCTATCCACCCTCTCCCTGCCCGGCCGCTTCTCCCATCCTTCGCAGCTGCTACCCGGCCATCTGCTGTCGTCTCCGCGGCCAGGTGTCCCGCCGTTGTCGCCGGCGCCGCCGCCACTCCCGCCGTCGCTGCCGCCGCCGCTAAGGGCAAGCCGAAGAAGAAGGTGGACTCGGCCGTGAAGCGCGCCAAGCAGGCGGAGGTGCGGCGGGTGTACAACAAGTCGCGGAAGACGGAGATGAGCACGCGCATGAAGAAGGTGCGTCTTGCAAGGCGTTTTACTTTAGAATCCTCAGAAGCGCGTCAAGCAGGCGGCGGGTGTACAACAAGTCGCGAAAGACGGAGATGAGCACGCGCATGAAGAAGGTGCGTTTTTTTTTTTCTTTTTTGGGGTACCCAGGTGCGCAAGCATGAGTAAGCGCAGGAAGAAAGCGAGCTGATTGATGCGTGAGTAAGCTAGCCCGGAAAGCGAAGGAATCAGTTTGGAAGGGATGCGGAAACAGCGAAGAGAATGAGAGGAGGAAGGGAGTGGAGGTAGGGGAGGAACGGAGCGGAGGGAGGGGAGGAAAGGAGGGGAGGCGGCGAGGGAGTGTGGGGAGGGAGGGAGGGAAGTAGGAGGGGTGCGGAGCAAGGTGGTTTGGATGCGGAGACAGGTGGGTGATTTTTTTAGCAGCTAAGGGGAGGAGGAAGCGAGGAGGTGGAAGAGGGGAGGCGGAAGCGGTGATGCAGACGAATGAGATGCGGAACGGGGGAGGCAGGAGTTGGGGCGATTGCGGGAATATGCGAGGGGACAAATGGGGGGAACGCGCAGGGGAAGGTGGAATCTAAGCAGGGGGGATGAAGGAGCGAAAGGCGAAGTGGCGGTTCTGTCGCGCAGGAGGGAGGGGGAGCAGAGCAGATGGAGGCGTTGAGAAACGAAGGGAGATTGAGAGACGGGGAAGGGGGAGGGATCGTGGGCGAGTAAAAAGAAGGGGAGGGAGGAGCGGGACAAATGAAGTGATGTTGAGGGAGGGGGAGGCGTGGGCATGTGCGGGAAAGGCTTTAGGAAGGAGAGAAAGGGGGAGAGAAGGAGATAGAGGAACAAAGAGGGAGAGAAAGGAGGCCTAGCGTTGTGCTTTGAGTCAGCACATCGGCAAACCTGAGATGATGCGATGCCGTGTGCTTGCAGTCTGAAGCGGATTGGTAACAGACTGAAGCAGAGTGGTAACTGACTGAAGCAGAGTGGTAACTGACTGAAGCAGAGTGGTAACAGACTGAAGCAGAGTGGTAACTGACTGACGCAGGGTGACAACAGACGAAAGCATTGGGGTAGCCGACTGAAGCTGAGTGATAACAGACCGAAGGAGAGCTATAGCAGAGTGATTTAGAGTGGTAACAGACCGAAGCAGAGCCAGAGTGATTTAGAGTGGTAACTGACCAAAGCAGAGCGATAGCAGAGTGATTCAGTCGTGGACCCTTACAGGTCAAACGCCAGGGAGGGGACCAGACATGAATAGTGGCAGTTCTCCTTCGACTGCACAGATTGCACAGGCGAAACAGAGGCCGTTGTTCCCTAAATTCGCCTGTGGAACAGCCGCTCGTTGTGAACCAACCACATATGCGTTTTGTCACCCTGCGGAATGCGAACAGTAACTGAGCAGCTGTGGCTTGAAGCATGAACCGTAGCTGGGCAGTATCAAGCAGGGCAGTGAAAAACAGCATATAGATCACAGTGCGGGGAGGGGAGCGAAGGTTGGGCTTGAAGGGAGGGCATAATTTAGCAGGGAGAGAGTGAAGCAGGCGAAGTTAGAAGCATGGAGATCTATTGTTTGCGGTGCCTTACCGGGATCTCGTTCCCATCTGAGGAGCAGCTGCTGGCAGCAGAGAAGCTCATCTCACGCCACCCTCTCACCCCATCTCCCTTCTCTCTTCCTCCTTCCTTCCTGCCAGGCGTTCCTGGCACTGGAGGAGCTGCGCAAGAGTGCATCGCCATCAGAGGAGCAGCTGCTGGCAGCAGAGAAGCTCATCTCTTGCAACCCTAACGTTTGGCATGCTTCTGTTATTCGTACACGCCCCTGTCTTCCTCCTGACACATTCGTTCCTGGCCCTGGAAGAGTTGCGCAAGAGGGAATCCCTGTAGGAGGAGCAGCTGCTGGCGGCATAGAAGCTCATCTCGTGCAGCCTCAAATGTTTGACACGTTCTTGTGATTCGTGTTTGCCCCCTTGTGCCTCAGGCGTTCCTTGCTCTGGAGGAGCTGCGCAAGAGTGCATCCCCATCAGAGGAGCAGCTGGTGGCAGCAGAGAAGCTCATCTCGGAGGCCTTTTCCATCATCGACCGGTCCGTGAAGGTCAATGCCATCCACGAGAACAAGGGTGCGCGCCGCAAGGCTCGGCTCTCCCGGGCCAAGCGCGCTACGCTGGTTTCTCTTGGCTGGTACACTCCCGAGCCTGCTGCTGCCTAGAGGGGGTTTTAGGTGGTGGAAAGGTTTGGTTGGAAATGGTGTCTGTTTATAGAAATTGTGAAGTCATGCTTTATTTTCAGTGATTGTTACAGCTGCTCTCAGAACCAGGTTCAATCTAGCAAGTTTAGATTGTGTGTTAGAATTAGGCTAAGAACAATGTAAAGACTGTTTTGCAACTGACTAGGTGTACCCTGCTTGTCTGCGGTTCAGTTTCGGTTCGCCTCAAGTTCGGCGGCACAATTGAACTACAAAATGCTGAGGTGGTGCTTCGCACAAACCCACTTCGTTTCGCGACAAAACGCGTTTGCTTGCGAACTGCGTTTCCAGGGTCCGCAGAATCAGCCGAACCTGACACAAGGCTGAGCAGTGCGCACCTCAGTTCGAGTGACTCTCAGAAATTTTGTTCCACGTCTTGTAATTCCAAGTGCACTATTGCAAGAACCAGACTGAAACTGGCGGAACCAGACTGAACCGTGTGCGACGACCTGAACCAAGTCGGGAGGAGGTTTGTCTCCCATCCCAGTGAAATCGGGTCCGTTCTGCAGAGGTACAATCTGCATGCACGTGGAGTTCCCTAGGTTGGAAGTAACTAAGTAACTATGAGCAGCCTGAAATTTGCTTGCGTGACTTGGTTATGGTCCGCAGGACTGTTGGCAGAGGGACCGTAGTCGACGGAGCCGCAGTTGACGGAGCATTATACTTAGTGATGCACTCGAACCTTTGTCGAACCTTTGAAGTGATGCAAGCAGGCAAGACCAGGGATTGTACTCGAGGGTGTTTCTAGTACGAGACATAGGCCCTCGCTGCATCGCATCACTGAAAAAGCTAGCGCTTCTAGAAGGATCACCATGGCACGGTCAACGATTCTGTCGCCGCTTCACGGGGAAATCTCTTCTCTGCTTCGCCAATCAGGATCCTCCACGTCTCTCTTCCCTTCAGCTGGCCAGCTCCGCCGGGTTCCTTACCTATCCGATCCTCGATATAGTCTCCCGCAATTCCGTTACAGAGCTACATCCAGTCCGGGAGCTCCGCGTTGCTCGTTTTTCGAAGGAATTTCGCAGCATGGGGTTCGTTTGGAACATATTTCTCAGCCGCGGAGTTTGAAGGCAGGGAGAGACGGCAGCGGGAAGAGGCGGGTAGTGTTGCCGGTAACTCGCGCTGCTGTTACAGCTGGTAACCCGGTTGACGAAGGGTCTGGGAGCGTTGCTGTTGGCCGGAAGAGTAACGCACAGCAGGCTGCATTACACAGGGTAAGGTGATGGGTGTGGATGCAACTAGGAGGACAGGGGAGCGATTGTTGGAAGGGAGGAGAGGAGAGAGAATATGAGAAGGAGGAGAGGGGAGGTAATGTGTGAAGGGAGGAGAGGGGATAGACTATGTAGAGGGAAGAATGCAGTGAAGGGAGGTTCTACCGCGGTAGGAGGCATGGTACCATCACATGACAAGGAGGCATGGGTAATATGACATGACAATGATGGTATCATGACATGACAGGGATGAAATATTATGACAGACAAGGATGATAACGAGCGAGAAGCTGGGCATTCTATCTCTCAACACCTGGGTGGCACTGGTACACCACTTCCGCCACCTCAAGGCCCACTCCCCCAAGTTTCTTCACTCTCCGCCTATTTTTCCCCTACTCACCCTCATCCAGAGCACGTTGGACATGATAAACAGCGAGAAGCTGGGCATTCTATCTCGCAACACCTGGGTGGTGCACCACTTCCGCCACCTCAAGGCCCACTCCCCCAAGCTTCTTTACTCTCCGCCTATTTTTCCCCCAATCACCCTCGACAGAGCACGCTAGACATGATAAAGAGCGAGAAGCTGGGAATCCTCTCCCTAAACACCTGGGTGGTACACCACTTCCGCCACCTCGTGGCCCAAGTCAACGCCTTGGAGCCGGCAATGCAGGCTCTGACGGACAAGCAGGTGCGCACATCAGGTTCCGCGTGCGTATCTACTGTGTGTGACTGAGTCTGTGGGTGGTGCACCACTTCTGTCACCGCCACCTCGTGGTGCAAGTCAACGCCTTGGAGCCGGCAATGCAGGCTCTGACGGACAAGCAGGTGTGTAACGTGTTACAATAAGGCGAGAGTGAGAGATTGTGTCAGGGACGACCGTGTGGGTGGGTGATGCGGACACTGACGGACAAACAGGTGTGTGTTGAGCTGAGGAAGGGGTGTGAGTGGATCAGGTGTGACTGTGAGCTGACCCGGCCGGCACTGGCATCAGTTATTTCTCTTCCTCTGGTTATGCTGCAGCTCTGGTACAATATGCGTGCCTCAAGAAAGCATATGTGAAAGAATGGTGGTTTTGAGCCGTCTCGAAACCACCATTATTTCACCCGGCCGGCACTGGTATCAGTTCTGGCACACCTGGCCCCTTCTCTTCCTCTGGTTATGCTGCAGCCTTGGCACAATATGCATGCCTCAAGATAGCATAGAGTAGGCTTTGCAGTGGCTCAACCCCGTAAGTCACTGACAATGAATCTACCATGCCTCTTTGTTTGGTTTGGTTATTATGATGCAGCTGCGGCGCAAGACACGCGAGTTCAAGAAGCGGCTGAAGCAGGGAGAGACGCTGGATGACATACAGGCAGGTAGGATACGGTCGTGTGCGGTGCAGGCTGTTACCTGTTCTATATCCTGTGTTAGTTTTGCTGTTGCCTGAAGGTGCTGCTGTCGCTTTGCTGCTTCCCTCCATTTTTCTCCCACACTGCATTGCATCATTGGTGATTTTGTTCCTTAGCGCACGCACTAGAGGTCTTGTGGAGCGGTTATTCTGACGCCCCAAATCCATCTGACCCTAAACTAAACACTACTTGCATGTTTTTCGTGTGAATTCGTGAGAACCAAATCAAGTAGGCAATACCACAGTGACATTGGTTTTTACGAATTCGAGCACTTGCCTGGTCACCCTTGCATTACCCTTTCCATAAAACTCGTGATCTTTTGCGTCTCATTTTTAGACTGCTTTTTCATGCGCCGCCCCTGCGCTGCGCCCCTATTTGCCTGCCCGTGGCCCCTCAGAGGCCTTTGCTGTGGTGCGAGAGGCGGCTCAGCGCACCCTCTGCATGCGCCACTTCGACGTGCAGGTGTGTGTGTAGCTTGCATGTGGGGGGGTGGGAGGGGGAGGGGAGAGAAGGAGAGGAGGAAGGTGGGGGAGTGGGTGGGCACTAATAGCAGACCGAACCCAACCCAGAAAGTTTTCTTCAGAGGCCTTTGCTGTGGTGCGAGAGGCGGCTCAGCGCACCCTCTGCATGCGCCACTTCGACGTGCAGGTGTGTGTGTGTGTGTGTGTGTGTGTATGTGGATGTGAATGTGGGTGTGTGTGTGGAGGTGGCGGGGGTGGGAGGGGTGGGGTAGTAAGCCGAATCCAACCCGGCAATTGTCCTCTGAAGCACTCTCTGCATGCGGTCGTGTGAGAGGCAGCAGCGCACCCTCTGCATGCAACACTTTGACGTGCAGGTGGGTGTGTGTGTGGAGAAGGAGGGAGGGGAGGGGGAGTGGGGAGAAAGGGAGGCACACCAGCAGATCACACCTTCGAAGAGTGCACGAGGCGGCTCGGCGCACCCTCTGCGTGCGACACTTTGATGTGCAGGTGTGTGTGTGTGTGTGGGTGGATGGGTGTAGATTCATCAGCATTTATGAACACTGGATTAGGGAAGATTCTGGCGTGCACTCAGGGCACTCAGTCCACCTCTCCCCGTTCCTATTCCACTCCCTCTCACTCCTCTGCACCCAATTACTCGCAGATCGTGGGCGGCGCAGTGCTGCATGCAGGGGCGATAGCAGAGATGAAGACGGGCGAGGGGAAGACTCTGGTGTCCACATTGGCAGCTTACCTCAACGCTCTTGTCGGGAAGGGCGTGCACGGTGAGGGCTCATCTGGGGAAGGTATGTGCAGTGTAGCAGGATGACGTGCACCAGAGTCGAGTAGTATGCAGCAGGACAGTACTGATCAACAGGCGAGGGGAAGACTCTGGTGTCCACACTCGCAGCCTACCTCAACGCGCTTGTGGGGAAGGGCGTGCATGGTGAAGGCTTATCTGGGGAATGTGTATATGTATGGATGTGCCGTGTAGTGGTGGGACGGCAGGTAACAATGGGTGTGTAGTGCAAGCAGTGCAGCGCGGGTGTCCACACTCAATGCCCTTGTGAAGAAGGGCTTTCATGGTGCGGGCTTGTGTGGGAAGGTGTTATGTAGCAGGTAAGCTTTTGAAATTTCCGAAAAATGGTAACAGTGAGAGGGCATTTGGTGAGGAGGGGTGTGGACTGGATGCGGCAGGACATGGAGGGGTGTGGTGTGGTGGTGTGGTGTAGCAGTTTTTGGGTTCACCTTGAGTCGTTCTTCCCCTCCCCTGCCTTTGTATGCCGTCCTCTTTCTGTCCCAGTGGTAACGGTTACCGACTATCTGTCGAGGAGAAATGCGGAGTGGATGGATGGAAAGGGTGCACGGATTTTCATGCTATCACCTTCCCCCATCCCATACCCTTACCCCATGATCCATCCCATACCCTCTGCCCATTCCAGTGGTAACGGTGAACGACTATTTGGCGAGGAGAGATGCGGAGTGGATGGGGCGGGTGCACAGCTTTTTGGGGCTGTCAGTGGGGGTCATTCAGGTAAGCGACACACAGAAAGGTCCTAATTCAGTCAGATGGGTGTGGTTCTGATAAGTGTTACTGCATTGAGGTTAAATTGAAGGAGTGATGATGCATGCGACTGATTTGATCCGCATGCGACTGATTTGATCCGCATGCGACTGATTTGATCTGCATGCGACTGATTTGATCTGCATGCGACTGATTTGATCTGCATGCGACTGATTTGATCTGCATGCGACTGATTTGATCTGCATGCGACTGATTTGATCTGCATGCGACTGATTTGATCCGCATGCGACTGATTTGATCTGCATGCGACTGATTTGATCTGCATGCGACTGATTTGATCTGCATGCGACTGATTTGATCCGCATGCGACTGATTTGATCCGCATGCGACTGATTTGATCTGCATGCGACTGATTTGATCTGCATGCGACTGATTTGATCTGCATGCGACTGATTTGATCTGCATGCGACTGATTTGATCTGCATGCGACTGATTTGATCTGCATGCGACTGATTTGATCTGCATGCGACTGATTTGATCTGCATGCGACTGATTTGATCTGCATGCGACTGATTTGATCTGCATGCGACTGATTTGATCTGCATGCGACTGATTTGATCTGCATGCGACTGATTTGATCTGCATGCGACTGATTTGATCTGCATGCGACTGATTTGATCTGCATGCGCCTGATTTGATCTGCATGCGCCTGATTTGATCTGCATGCGCCTGATTTGATCTGCATGCGACTGATTTGATCTGCATGCGACTGATTTGATCTGCATGCGACTGATTTGATCTGCATGCGACTGATTTGATCTGCATGCGACTGATTTGATCTGCATGCGACTGATTTGATCTGCATGCGACTGATTTGATCTGCATGCGACTGATTTGATCTGCATGCGACTGATTTGATCTGCATGCGACTGATTTGATCTGCATGCGACTGATTTGATCTGCATGCGACTGATTTGATCTGCATGCGACTGATTTGATCTGCATGCGACTGATTTGATCTGCATGCGACTGATTTGATCTGCATGCGACTGATTTGATCTGCATGCGACTGATTTGATCTGCATGCGACTGATTCGATCTGCATGCGACTGATTTGATCTGCATGCGACTGATTTGATCTGCATGCGACTGATTTGATCTGCATGCGACTGATTTGATCTGCATGCGACTGATTTGATCTGCATGCGACTGATTTGATCTGCATGCGACTGATTTGATCTGCATGCGACTGATTTGATCTGCATGCGACTGATTTGATCTGCATGCGACTGATTTGATCTGCATGCGACTGATTTGATCTGCATGCGACTGATTTGATCTGCATGCGACTGATTTGATCTGCATGCGACTGATTTGATCTGCATGCGACTGATTCGATCTGCATGCGACTGATTCGATCTGCATGCGACTGATTCGATCTGCATGCGACTGATTCGATCTGCATGCGACTGATTCGATCTGCATGCGACTGATTCGATCTGCATGCGACTGATTCGATCTGCATGCGACTGATTCGATCTGCATGCGACTGATTCGATCTGCATGCGACTGATTCGATCTGCATGCGACTGATTCGATCTGCATGCGACTGATTCGATCTGCATGCGACTGATTCGATCTGCATGCGACTGATTCGATCTGCATGCGACTGATTCGATCTGCATGCGACTGATTTGATCTGCATGCGACTGATTTGATCTGCATGCGACTGATTTGATCTGCATGCGACTGATTTGATCTGCATGCGACTGATTTGATCTGCATGCGACTGATTTGATCTGCATGCGACTGATTTGATCTGCATGCGACTGATTTGATCTGCATGCGACTGATTTGATCTGCATGCGACTGATTTGATCTGCACGCGACTGATTTGATCTGCACGCGACTGATTTGATCTGCATGCGACTGATTTGATCTGCATGCGACTGATTTGATCTGCATGCGACTGATTTGATCTGCATGCGACTGATTTGATCTGCATGCGACTGATTTGATCTGCATGCGACTGATTTGATCTGCATGCGACTGATTTGATCTGCATGCGCCTGATTTGATCTGCATGCGCCTGATTTGATCTGCATGCGACTGATTTGATCTGCATGCGCCTGATTTGATCTGCATGCGCCTGATTTGATCTGCATGCGACTGATTTGATCTGCATGCGACTGATTTGATCTGCATGCGACTGATTTGATCTGCATGCGACTGATTTGATCTGCATGCGCCTGATTTGATCTGCATGCGCCTGATTTGATCTGCATGCGACTGATTTGATCTGCATGCGACTGATTTGATCTGCATGCGACTGATTTGATCTGCATGCGACTGATTTGATCTGCATGCGACTGATTTGATCTGCATGCGACTGATTTGATCTGCATGCGACTGATTTGATCTGCATGCGACTGATTTGATCTGCATGCGACTGATTTGATCTGCATGCGACTGATTTGATCTGCATGCGACTGATTTGATCTGCATGCGACTGATTTGATCTGCATGCGACTGATTTGATCTGCATGCGACTGATTTGATCTGCATGCGACTGATTTGATCTGCATGCGACTGATTTGATCTGCATGCGACTGATTTGATCTGCATGCGACTGATTTGATCTGCATGCGCCTGATTTGATCTGCATGCGACTGATTTGATCTGCATGCGACTGATTTGATCTGCATGCGACTGATTTGATCTGCATGCGACTGATTTGATCTGCATGCGACTGATTTGATCTGCATGCGACTGATTTGATCTGCATGCGACTGATTTGATCTGCATGCGACTGATTTGATCTGCATGCGCCTGATTTGATCTGCATGCGACTGATTTGATCTGCATGCGACTGATTTGATCTGCATGCGACTGATTTGATCTGCATGCGACTGATTTGATCTGCATGCGACTGATTTGATCTGCATGCGACTGATTTGATCTGCATGCGACTGATTTGATCTGCATGCGACTGATTTGATCTGCATGCGACTGATTTGATCTGCATGCGACTGATTTGATCTGCATGCGACTGATTTGATCTGCATGCGACTGATTTGATCTGCATGCCACTGATTTGATCTGCATGCGACTGATTTGATCTGCATGCGACTGATTTGATCTGCATGCGACTGATTTGATCTGCATGCGACTGATTTGATCTGCATGCGACTGATTTGATCTGCATGCGACTGATTTGATCTGCATGCGACTGATTTGATCTGCATGCGACTGATTTGATCTGCATGCGACTGATTTGATCTGCATGCGACTGATTTGATCTGCATGCGACTGATTTGATCTGCATGCGACTGATTTGATCTGCATGCGACTGATTTGATCTGCATGCGACTGATTTGATCTGCATGCGACTGATTTGATCTGCATGCGACTGATTTGATCTGCATGCGACTGATTTGATCTGCATGCGACTGATTTGATCTGCATGCGACTGATTTGATCTGCATGCGACTGATTTGATCTGCATGCGACTGATTTGATCTGCATGCGACTGATTTGATCTGCATGCGACTGATTTGATCTGCATGCGACTGATTTGATCTGCATGCGACTGATTTGATCTGCATGCGACTGATTTGATCTGCATGCGACTGATTTGATCTGCATGCGACTGATTTGATCTGCATGCGACTGATTTGATCTGCATGCGACTGATTTGATCTGCATGCGACTGATTTGATCTGCATGCGACTGATTTGATCTGCATGCGACTGATTTGATCTGCATGCGACTGATTTGATCTGCATGCGACTGATTTGATCTGCATGCGACTGATTTGATCTGCATGCGACTGATTTGATCTGCATGCGACTGATTTGATCTGCATGCGACTGATTTGATCTGCATGCGACTGATTTGATCTGCATGCGACTGATTTGATCTGCATGCGACTGATTTGATCTGCATGCGACTGATTTGATCTGCATGCGACTGATTTGATCTGCATGCGACTGATTTGATCTGCATGCGACTGATTTGATCTGCATGCGACTGATTTGATCTGCATGCGACTGATTTGATCTGCATGCGACTGATTTGATCTGCATGCGACTGATTTGATCTGCATGCGACTGATTTGATCTGCATGCGACTGATTTGATCTGCATGCGACTGATTTGATCTGCATGCGACTGATTTGATCTGCATGCGACTGATTTGATCTGCATGCGACTGATTTGATCTGCATGCGACTGATTTGATCTGCATGCGACTGATTTGATCTGCATGCGACTGATTTGATCTGCATGCGACTGATTTGATCTGCA